TTCACCTCCTCTTTCCCTTCTAGAATTATTGATAGGAGCAGTACTAAAATAGCTGTACTACCACAATCTGGGCCAAGCTGTCCCCTGTGGGTAACAAATGGAGGAGCCAGACGTCCTTTGCATGAATTTGGAGGGCTGAACCCTGTTCCCTCTTTTGCAGAGGTTGCAAGTGGTTCCATCCCCCTCACTTCCTTTGATGTGACAGCAACTCAGCAAATGGAAATTTGGGTAGTTTCCCATTCCTCACTTGTAGGGAGAAACCCCCCCACCTCTATAGTTCAGTGCATACAAATTAGAACTGGGCACTGAAGTATGAATACATGGGTAAAGCAGAAATATTGCATTTTATTTATTAATTACATAGGGTTCACTTGTGCAATTACAGAAACAGTGCCTAGCTTGGGCACAGTAGCCATAAAGTATTGACTGTAAGTCACTAGGAGTGATCTGATGGACCTGAAGCAATGTTTCAGGAATGGGTGTTTGGGCATCATTTATGTGAATGACTGAGCCTGGGTTTGGGAATTGTGTATTCCTGAATTCTAATAATGATTTGTCACTGAATAGCTGTGTGGACATGGGTGAAGTGACCCCGTTCCTAACTTTTCCATTTACAGAATGAGGGTGCTATCCATTTGTCTTGTTCAATAAACTTGTGGTTTATTGAATGTTTTAATGTTATTAACTGTCTGTGAAAGGCTTTGAAAATGTGTTGTATAAAAAGGGAAAGACTTCTCTTTAATTCCAGAACATTGCTTTCTGTGGTGGGTAGAAGGGAAATGGATATTTGTTCTTTCAGAAAGCCTCATAAATAGTATAAAATCTTGTGTAAGTGAGACAAAAAGACACCAAAAGAATAATAAGTTTGGTCAGGAATGGTCAAAAAGGAAAACCAACCCTTATTTTTGTTTGACCTCCTTTATAGCAGCAGATACAGGCTGACTTTTTCTGTCCTGGACTCCAAATAAAGCTGCATTTGGATATTTTTAGATAGACGTTGCCTTTGTGTGATTTCTTTATTAGTGTAAGATTGAAAAAGCAGGGCTTCAAGCACCTTGCCTGGAAATAGTTATATTAGAAGAGTAGATATTAATAGTTGCAGTGTGTAGAACATATCTCATGGGCCAGAGATTTCCCTACTAAACAAAGAGCCAGAACCCTGCTATGTTTCTTTTATGTCCAAATCTTTTAAAGTTTTTGCAAATTTTTAGCTAAACAAGTGCATTTTAATAAAAGAATATAGTCTAGCTCAGTGGCTCTTAATGTTTCTAGACTCAATGCACCTCTCATTAGACTTGAGGCCCCCCACAGAAAATGCCAGCTGTTGGCTTTTACTTGCTTTTTGACAATAGGAATGTACTAGAGCAATTCTTCCATTGCAGAGAACTCAGAAAGACCACGACAGGTCAGAATCTTTTTGACATTGTGGATTCCTATTGGAAAAATCTTGGTTTATTTTGTGAATCATGTCCGTGCCTGTACCATGTGGCACTCTTAAAAGGATCTCGCATCATCTTGGGGTGCCACGGCACACTGATTGATTGACAGTCACTGGGCTAATTGCAATGCTTTGTAGACTATAAGGACTGATAAATTACTGACAACCCTCCACATTTCTTTTGGACCACTCTGCACCTTTATCTTCAAGCTTAATTGAAAAGGGATTTGGGATGGAGGAGAAGGGAAGCAGTGTGATCTGCAGGCTGCATAGGTCTCATGGACCATCGTTTTGGGAGGTGCTAATCTACCATGGAGACCTGGGCCCTTCCTCCCCCCCATTTCACATTGTGTTCTTGTGCTGTAATGTGCCTTACAGCAAGTCACCTCACCTCTGTGACTCTGTTTCATCTGTGAAAGAGATAATGGCCCCTAACAGGCCTGCAGCTTAATTATAAAATCACATGAGAGCCTTAGATGAAATTTGCTTAGAAATGCAGGATAATAATTAATAAAACATGAAGTGGCAACATGAAAAATAAACTAATATCACAGTTTCGCTTTAGGAAGTGCTGTCAGGCCTTCGTTTTTGTCAAAGTCTTTCAACCATCAGAAGAATTACAGTTACAACATGAATGCTTGCCTTTCCCTGCTCCTTCTTCAAAAGCAAGCAAATAAAAAAAACCCCAACAAAACAGCTCCCCCCAAACCTGAGTTGAAACCCCCAGCCTGACAAAAATCAAACAAAAGCTTTGGCCCTGCTTCAAAACGGAAAAGAACTAGAGATCCATTATGTCTTCTTGCCCCTTTGCTTAGTTTTGTTCATGTGCTTAGTTTTATTCACATCAGTAGCCCCAAGCAAATGAATGAATGCTTGCACAATCAAGACCTGTGTCTTAGATATCTGTTTAATTTGTCTGAATTCTCCCCCCACCCCCAATCTATTGCAGGACTGGCTTTTCCTAAGAAACTTGGGTGGGGTGAGCTGGGCTGGGCTGGGCTGTTTTTTTTTGGGGGGGAGGGGGGAGAGGGGTGTACAGGGAAGTGGAATTCATAGAAGTAGCTAGCTTTCTTTTGCAATAAAAAAAATAGAAGAATTCAAATAAACTAAATCAGGAGCTTAAACTGTGGGTTTCTGTACTTAATTATAAGTAGATTCCAGGACTGAGGGAAATCTTTTCACAAGTCTCCCTCAAACCTCTACCAGTTGATACTGGTTGGTAGTTCCAGGCCCGTGCTGGCAGGAAGCTTTAGAAGCTTATATTAGACCTGTTCCTGTTAGCGGTCAAAACAGTAATTACCAAAATGTTGTCAGTTTAAGGTAGATGCTGATTATGGTTGTTAGTTTTCAAATGAAAACTAGAAAAACCACTAATTAGTGTAGTCAGGAGCATGTCTTTTCATTTAGTGAATTGGACAATATCAGTCTCCTTATAATCAGATCTCTTTTCACTTCATTCAGTTCCCAAACGCAGTAGATTTATTTTGATTTGTATGTATGACTGTTATAGGGTAAAACATAGTCCTTACCTTGTAGAAGCTTTTAAGTTCTTTTGTAACTTGTTTTTGTCTCTTCTGGAAATGGGAAGGTGGATAGATGGGGACTATAGGAGCCACTCTGTGGCATTCTTGGTAGCGCACTCCTTTGCAAAAAAAAAAAAAAAAAAAAAAATGGAAGCTTGAAAGAAAATGCTTTAAGTTATAGAGTTATAAAATGAAATTCATTGAGGTTTTTGGAAGGAAAATTCGCATGTTTAATCTCTGCTGGAATGTAAAATTTGTTGGAGGAATTCTGCATCAAATAATATGGGCACATTTCTTCCTGGAGTTGCTGTTGTGCCACCATTTTCAAGGGTACTTACTGCATGTGCTCCCCTAGGACAGTTTCCTCCAGTTTATGTAAGCCAGTGGTTCTCAGCCTTGTCAGACTGGAGGCACCCTGTGGAAAATGCCAGCTATTAGCTTTCACTTGGTTTTTTAATTATGAGAAAATAATACATCAATTTCTTCTAAGAACTCTGGAAAACCACAAAGGTTGAAGTGTTTTTGACACTATAGATTCCAGTTTAAAATCTTGCGGCTCCTGTGCAGGTGTTTGCATACCTAACAGTGCTAATATTATACAACAACCTGTTAATGTTGTTAATGGCACCGTTAAAAGCGCCTCAGAGCATTAAGGGTACTGCAACACCCGCCCTGGTTGAATCGCTAGTATAGGTAGATCCATGGCTGTCCCTCATTTTGGCTGCTGCTACAGTCATGTCTAAGCTCATGGCATTCTGGAGCCTAGGTTTGTCTAAAGCAGTGATTCTCAATCAGGGTGACACAGCATCCTGGGGTGCCTTGAGATATTTTCAGGGGTGCACTGGGGTGTTACACAATATTAGCACTGTTAGGTATGCTGACATGATTGCAAAGATAAACCTAGAGATTTCAAATAGGAATCCATAGTGGTAAACCGTTCTGACCTGTTGCAGTCTTTCGGAGTTCTTTGGAACAGAAGAATTGCTCTATTATTTTTCTGTAGTCAAGAATCAAGTGAAAACTAAGAGCTGACACTTTCTGAGGGTGCCTTGAGTCTAAAAAGGTTGAGAACTGCTAGTCTGAAGACTATAGATTACTTGCAGCCTCTTAGATGTGTAGAGGTGTGGTACGAAGCACTCACTATTGTTTTTTCTTTCCTTCCCCCCTGCACCCTTGCAGGTACTAACTGAATGAGCAGTAACTGGTGCTGCTGTGCTGGTAGCACTGGCATATAGTGTTTTTTGTGACGCTAATGCACAGAAGACTAATTCTACTAAGCATTATTAGCATGACTTTTGTTGTGACGTGCTAATGTGCAGTAGAATTAGTCTACTGCACATTTAGTGTCTTGTGTAGATGCACCCAGTGTGTCCAACATTAAGTGCTGTAAAGAGTAATTTCATAGGTGTTTATTTGGGAGCTGTTATTCAGTGGTGTCAAAGACTTTTATCGTACATCCTAACCGTGAAATCATGCAAACGCTTACATATACATGCAACTTTATTTGTACGAGTCTTGCTTCAAACTCTGTAGGAATACATTTACATTTTGTAGTTATATTGTCTACCTGAGACCTGCTTCCAGTGAGGTTAAAAGGGTGTTGTAAGGCTTGGTAATTAGATCTATGTGATTTTTAACAAGAGGTTTTCATACTTATTTGAAATATATTTTTCTTCCTGTTTAAACATTGTTCCCCTCTAATTTTCACAAATCAAACTGTGCAGCCATGTTAGCATATGAGGTTTGGTAAGCAAAATTCACTGGTCAATTTGTGTAGTTTGAGTTGAGTGAAATGCAAAAAGTAGGAGAAATGGTGAAAATAATAATTTTTTTTAAAAGATTCCCCTTGGCGATTATTAATAACAGTGATACCAAAACTAGAAAAGCCCCCAAAACTAAAAGTTAAAAAGATCTCACTTTTGAGTACGTGAGGCGAAGGCGGGACCAGCAAGTTACCATGTCCTGCCTCTGCCATAATTATCTTTGCAAGCCAGAAGGTGCTGTGTCAGTTCACTGATCAGCAGTGTTTTGTGACATGAACATTTATTGGAGTGTCTTGACTATACAAACTAAATGCAGAAAGCCTCAAGAACAGCATGAACAAATATCTTCATTATTTATTAACTGCGAGGAGCTCAGGTAATCTGCTGAGATGTATATGATTTTTATATTTGGAGTTGATAAGTGATTTTTGTGTAGATTGCAATACATGAAGAAGCAGTTAAATAGAAATGATTTCTTCAGGCAAGCTTTAGTGATAAGCATTTATGTGCTTTCACGTCATCCTTCTCTCCCCCGGAATGGAATACTGTAAATAAATTGACTACCAAAAACCTTGGTTCTGTTCTGGAGGGTTTAGATGTACACATTTGTCTTACTTTTAAAGAGCTTGTCTTTTTTAAGAAGCTGACTTGTAGGTTCTGTGCTCAAGCCATTTAAAGAATGTCATACCTACTAATTAAGGAATCTGGAAAGTTTGAGCCACAGGTGTCTGAAAGCTGTAAAGTAGTTGCCTTATTCTAATATGTGCTTTGGTGGGGGTGGGGAAACCCTACAGATTCAGTTGAAACAACTTGAGTTTTGTTTTTAGTCAGAATTTTTCATAGATTTCAAATGAAGTTTTTTTTTTTTTTTTAAAGTAATGTCTCCTAGGCTTTGAAAACTACTAGTCTTTCTGTCAATTAATTCAGTTTTTAAGTGTCTGAATAACTGGCTTTTTACTGAAGTTGTACATCTTTTATATTAAGTGTAGCATAAGACTCCCAATGGCGTTTTTCTTCCTTTAAGAGCTCAAGCAATAACAGATTGCTTGGATAGTTTGATTAGTGGAACCTCAAGACCATTTAAGAGGAGAGGGTTGTTAAGAGCTGTGGAGTGAAGATGGATTACATGATTGTAATCGGGTAGGTTATAATGAGCTGTGAAGTCGACTGACTTTTTCAGTGCTGCCTGAGAAGAAACGTTGCTGCTGAGCAGTTGGTTTTAAACTTTGGGTGGAGCAGGAATCAGTGTGATGCAGCTGTACCCTGCTGGGCTCTTCTCCTCCCTCCTTACAGCTGGAGGGAAGGGAAGGAAAAGAAGCATCAGACATTAGGGCTGTGAGAAGCTTTGGTAGCGGATTCAGTTCAGAGGAGATTTGGCCTGATTCGGCGCTGAATCTCCGAATCCAAATTGAATCAAATCAGCAGACTCATTAAGAGGGTTGGATCGAATCAGAAACCTCTGAATTGATTTGGAGAGTTTCAGGGCCGATTTGGAGATTTGGCCATAGGCTATACAGGTTTCCCTTGCATAAAGCGAACCCACTTTATATTATAACAAATAGGGAAAGGTTCCCAAGGTGGTGAGTGAGGGAGTGAGGCTGGGGCTAGGGAAGGGGCTGGGGGAGGTGTGCTGTTCCCGGGGCTGCAGCGTGCTCCGCCTGTCCCCACTCACCCCAGCTCCTGGGCTGCGCTGTGCTGTGGTGCAGGCAGCTGGTGTCAGCTGCTCCTGGGGCTGCTGCAGCAGAGGCTGGGGGGAGTGGCAACAAGTGGAGCCCCGGGGGTGCGGGATGTGGCGCAGCTTGTCTGCGCTCACCCTAGCCC